CACACACACACACACACACACACACAAACACAAACACATGCACACACACTGCTGAAAATGAAGATGCTGAGGGTGACAATCCATCACTCATCTGTAGAGTAGAGGAACACGCACACACACACACACACACACACACACACACACACACACACACACTCACACACACACACACTACCCTTGTTTTCTCACTAAAGGACAAACACACACACACACACACTCACACACAAACGCAGACACGATTTTTTTTAGTCTGTTAGTGTTTTTAATCTCACACACAATGAAGAATTAATCTCACACACATTTACAGACATGTTCACACTTTCTGTATCACACACACACACACACACACACACACACACACACACATTCAGCATCAGAGGTGATCATGATCACAATAGTGAAATAGAAACTCTAAAATCTCCAAAATAAAAACCTGCACGAGTCGCTGCTGTGGCTGATCAAGACTACATTATCCATTAATATCGCAAAGAGAGCTGTAATGTGTGTGTGTGTGTGTGTGTGTGTGTGTGTGTGTGTGTGTGTGTGTGTGTGTGTGTGTGTGTGTGTGTGTGTGTGTGTGTTATTTTTATATATATATATATAGATATGTGTGCATGCGTGTGTGTGTATATGGTCAGGACGTGCGTGAGTCATATCATCACTTGACTGCATGATGATGATGAATCTGGTGTGTGTGTGTGTGCGGTGTATCAGTCAGTCAGCTCTCTGACCCCTGTGTAACCCCTGACCTCTGAGTGACCCTTGACCCCTGTGTGTACAGTGTGTGTTCAGCTGCGATCGCTCTCCTCAATCTCACAGCGGCCTTAGATTTCATTACAAACACACACAGTTTCTCTTTCAGACAAAGATTAGATCTGCTGGACAAACACACACACACACACACACACACACACACACACACTGTAGAATAGCCTCATCTCCAGCACTTATAACTGTACAGTAGCCCTGTTGAATCACTAAAACATTATCAGTGTGTTGGTGTAAATCATCACGTTATTAATATGCAGAACCTTTATTATGCACAAATAAATGCAACAAAGATTGAGTTTTACTGTCTGCGTGTGTGTGTGTGTGTGTGTGTGTGTATGTATGTGTGTAAGGTTTATTCATTCATTCATTCATTCAAATTCTTTTCGGCTTAGTTTCTTTATTAATCAGTGGTCACCACTGTGCAATGAACCGGCAACTTGTTCAGCACGTTTTACACAGCGGATGCCCTTCTGGCTGCAACCCAGTATTGGGGAACACCCATACACACTCATTCACACACACACACACACACTACGGCCAGTGTAGTTGATCAGTTCCCCTATAGCGCATGTGTTTGGACTGTGGGGGAAACCGGAGCACCCGGAGGAAACCCACGCCAACACGGGGAGAACATGCAAACTCCACACAGAAACACCAACTGACCCAGCCGAGACTCAAACCAGAGATCTTGCTGTGAGGCGATCAAGCTACCCACTGTGTCACCGTGACGCCCCAGCATTAATAGCAATACTCCATTTCGTCTGACCCACTGTGCAGTATTAGCCTCTATAGCAGCATGTTGTCATTTCTGGCCATGTGGATTACTCTATTGTCCATTATAGAGAGTGCTGAAATCAGCCTGTGTATGATGGGAGGTGTTGACGTCGCCTCCTGTGTGCATCAATAATACATGCAGGTGTTTTCTGAGTGTGAGTGTTTGAATGGTGCGGGGACAATAGCGTTTCCCCTGATGGAAAATAATCTGCTGCTCATCCAAAATACATGAGAGAGAGAGAAGAGCAGCTCAGCCGGCAGCTTACAGTCCAGCATAGCATTTATTTACACACACACACACACACACACACACACACACACACACACACACAGTCCTGAGTCAGTAGAGATGTGGATCAGACTCGTGTACATCATTTTAAATGTTCTTTAGTGTATGATTGATTGATGTTGAGTGCATATTTCAATCAATTATTACAAATAAATAAATATTTGGGTGTGTGGGTGTGTGTGGGTCTCTTTGGGTCTGTGTGTGTGTGTGTGTGTGTGTGTATGTCTTCAATGATGGTGGGTTCTTCTCCTAGACTGATGTTCCCTGTTTACACACTGATCAGATCTGCTCAAATCTCATCAACATCTGCAGATTAAACTGACTTTCTGCCAGCAGGAAACACACACACACACACACACAGTAAAGCGATGACACTCAGACACACACTCTCAAACACCGTCAAATACTGTAAAAAAAAAAATCACACTAACATATTCTCTCACACACAAATGCATGCACTGTCACACACACACACACACACACACACACACACACACACACACACACACACACACACACACACACACTCAGCATGTACAGTAGTTTCCTTTAAGAACAGCAGTAAAATCCAGTAATGTTTGGTCCA